TTTGTCTTCAGTCTGGTTCGCATCAGGTGCATTTTCACTTCTTTTGTCTTCGGTTCGGTTTTGATCAGGATCTGATGCCATGTTTTTCTACTCGTGGGACTTGTGGGTTTTTTTTTTTTTTGCTTTTTTGGCTATTGTTGGTACATTCCAAAGATTGACAAGAAGAAAAAAGAGATATCACGGCAAAGGAAGTGAGAAAAAAAAAAAACAGGATCTAAAGGCAAAGATGACCACGTTGTATGTCAGACGTTTGTACTAGTAAGACAACACTTGGTAACATCCTCAATACACCCTCTCTGCTGCACAGGATTATTTTTTGGAGGAAGGCGGTCATTATTATAGTTTGCCCAAAGAAAAAAAAAGAAACCGAAAACCCCATCAACTAACACTTTCGTTGTCGTACTTTTTTTTTTGGAAAGAAAAAAGAAAACGCTCACCATTCTCTGGTCAACCCAAAAAGTATTTATTGTTCGCTCAAAGAAAAAATGAATGGGATGCACAAACAGCTGCGAAGAAAATCCACCAAGGGTTTTTATATCTCCTCAGGTGCACCGTAACCCGATGAAACTTGTTTTTTTTAGAGGGTGGCCTCCCAGAACAAAAAGACATGGCTCGCACTCGCATCTCTACATAAAAGACATTATCGAAGAAAAGTATTTTATTGGGAGACCAACTCACTTTACTTTAAACCCACGAAAAAAAAACGTACAAATTCATTGCAGACACCTCCCTTTTTTGCAGTCATACATACAAGCAAAAGAAATCAGAATCATTTTTACAAGAAAAACAAACCACATTAAGAAAAAGAGGTAGATGGAAAGGAAAAACAAATAATAAAAAGTTACAAAAAAACCCATTGCAACTACTCGCTATTATTGTTCTTATTTTTGTTGCTTCTCCCACTCCGATCAATTAAAAATGGAATACATGCAGCCAAAGATTGCCTGTCAACACAGTGACACCACAAATACATTGATTACACACTCTCTACCTATATACATGGACCTTTACAAAACCACACCCCGGGAGTGTAACAAGAAATAATTCTTCAAACTTTCTCTAGATTTTCTGGAGTTGGGAGTTCAATAGGTGAATCGGAATCAATTTCCTCCGGAGGTTCATTCGCATTCTCAGCAGCAGGTTCATTCGCAGGGGCTTCCGGTTCCTTCTCCTCCCAAGGGAACAGGAAGAACACCTGCAGGACGAAGCAGATCATACCAATCCCGCCAAAGAAAATGAAGGCAATCGATTGGCCCTTGTCCTGGTCACCAGACGCACCGCCAGAAATCCTTTCCGTCGCAATCGGGTAGCACACGTTGATGA